CGGGGAGTTTCCGGGGGGGGGGGGGAGGCATAAGAGTGAATCTGCCCATGCCCACCTTCCTCTATGATTAACCTCCCCTGTCTCTGCCCTCTTCTGAATCGTGCTCCCCAAGGGACTCTCCCAAACCCGTGATCCCCCATCTAACCCCTGGCCTGGTCTACTCCAGAGACTTGCTTATTTGTTTGCTGCTGCCTGGGGGCTGCCATGCTAAGCACAGCTCTGCCCCCAGCAGTCCCCTCCTGTACCTCCCGGCAGCTGTTCCCTTTCTGCCCCTCAAGCAGCTGCCTCCCCTTACCGACAGCACCCCTCTCCCCACAGCAGCTACTCCTTTCCCTCCCCTCTCAGCAGCTGCTCCCATTTGCTCCCCATGGGGTCCTGCCCAGCCCTTCCCTCCTCCAGTCCCAGTACCTGGCAGCAGCAGTGGAGGTGCAGGGGTCAGGCAGCATTTCCACTGTCTTTCTCAAGCAGGCTGTGTAAGCAAAGTGCAGCTTCTGGCTGCTGACTCTTTACCCTGACTCCTCCCTCTCCTGGCAGCTGGGGTGCCTGTGCCACGTTGCCTGTGCTTCCAGCATGTAGCCAGATCATAAATGAAGTAAGAACCTCATGAGCAAGATCTCCTATAAAATGTGCCAGGATCCGGTAGGTGGAATACAACATAAAAAAGGAGGAAATTCATTTTTTGTTTACACTGGTGTATCCCTAAATGAGTTGGCATCTGTACATATCAGAACAAACATAAGCCCAATGTTTGCTCAACTTTGAAACAACAAATTCACAAGGTTTAACTCAAAGCCTCTATTGCAAGGTTCTGGTATTTTCCTGAAGGCATGAAAACAGCAAAACCCTAGTGTGCTACATCTACACCTCAGGCTTTTTGTGCAAGAAGCTTTTAGTGGAAGAAATCTTCCACAAAAACGTGTCCACACTACAAAAGCTCACTGTAAAGCCATGTGCTTTTGTGCAAGAGAGTGACCACACTCATTGCACACTCTCTTACATATAAAACCACCTGGAACTGGTTCTAGCTGGGCTTTAGGTCACCAGTTGCTCTTGAGTGCTGTTGCTGGAGCCCTGTAGAGACAGGCATTTAAAGGGACCCCCACCCTACCCCCACCCCAAACAAACGCTTCTCTGTTTCTGTTGCCTGCTTATGGACCTCTGTTGAGGGACAGCAAAGCATCAGCAGTGCCTGCTGTGGTTGCCTTGTGATGTTTAGGGACACTACAGCTTTTTCCTGTTGTGTGCTATGGAGCCAGAGCTGCCCCAAGGCAGGCGCCAGCCCCACATGGCCAAGCTGCAGTTCCTGCAGCATTTTCTTCCAGCTGCCTACATGTCCATGCTGGACGTGGACTTGGAACTCCTCCTCGTCACCCTCTGTGTGACTGCAGCTGCTCCTCTCTGGCTGCCACACTCCACCCTACACAGAAGGTTCCAGTTCAGACGGGTGGGACTGGCTGGTCATGGAGCTGTGGGACAACCAGCAGTAGCTAAAAAACTTTTCACATGCACAAGGTCACCTTCCTCAGCTCTGTGCCTGGCTTGCACCTGCCCTCCAGAGATGTGCAGACATCCAGACAGCTACCAGTTGGTGGCCAACCAGTTTGGGGTGGGGAAGTTCCTGTCAGGCCCCTGCTTATGCAGATGAGGAGCTTGTGGGCTGCAGTCCTTGCTGGGATAGGGGGGGAGAGAAGGTATAGGAAAAAGGGGGACCCTTCGGAATGGGGGTCTGAGGACTGTAGGGGGTGGAATGGGGGGGGGGGG